CTCGGTAGCTTGCTAGGCTTTCCGAGAGGCATATGTATATATTTATTTCCCTCTATAATTTGTTGGCTACTGTCTGAACCCCATCAAATATGGTGTGATAATTATGGAAAATGGGTAGGGACTGTATTATGATGTGTCCAGGAATATGTTCCCTTATATGTGAGGCTAGGCCCGAGTGTGTGAAAAGTGGCCTGGAGCGTGGCAGCAGTTGGATAGTGGAGGTTGGCTGCCGGGGCTGGGTCCTTGGGGCAGGGAGGGCTCTCACCTACCCCTCTCTGGGGTGCCCTGGGTGAAAACAGCCTCGCATGGAGTCTGGTGTCATGGTTATGGGGGCCTCATTTTAAGCTCCCTTCCGGAAGAAGCAGTCCTGAGTTCTGGAGGGTGACTGATGAGATTATCTCGAGTATTTATATAATGATAATAATAATGATAATGATAATAATATGAGTGCTTCATGAGGTTGTTGTGAAGACTAATTTTATACACTTTAAAAGATACATTAATATCCTTCATACTCTTTTAATTTGAATCTGCCTTTGGATCACTAATTAATTCTTTCTACAGAAACATCTGTATATTTACTCTGTACCAGTCTCTAGAACTTGGCTGTAAGACTGCAACAATGAAAAAACAAAATCTCTAAACTTAATGGACCTTCTTTTTAGTGGGAAGTTGAAAAATTAAAAAAGTAGAAATTCTTGGAAATCATTTGTGATGATTGTTGTAAGAGAAAAACAGGCTTTTGTGACTTGGAATTTCATTCTCATTCAGTTGCTCATGGAAGGACTCTTTGAGGAAACTGTATGTGAGAACAGAAAACCAGTGAGCCATCTATATTTACCTGTCTCAGAAAAATAATGAAAATGCAAAGGCAGCCCTCAATATTTCCCCTTTTCATCCAGATTACTCTGTCTTTAATTCCTTTAAGAAGGCCCTTGGGAAGATTAAATCTTCGTGTTGCAATTTAATCAATGATATTGGAAAGGGCATGAAGAGTATTTACTTAGCAGTTTTTTTGAGCCAGTATCAAATCTGAGAAGGACTGAAAGGAGCATGAGGAGCTAGCACTGAAGTTGGAAGCATGGCAAAAATGGTCAGACTAATTGGAGCTCTGACAGAGAACAGAGGATGAAAGGATGTTAATGAGAGTTTGAGCTCTCCAGGAATTGTCACAGTGAGTTCTGTGAAAACTGCTCCTGTTGGAGTATAATCTCTTAGATAGTAAATGAGGAAGATTTGAGTGGAAGCAAAAGTCAGAAACCGTCTAGCTCTAGACAAGGTTTATATCTGTTTTAGCACTAACTCTATGTGTGATCCGTGACAAGTATTTTCCCTAACCTTAGTTGCAACACTGCACAGATTGAAGATGAGAAACAAATAAGGAAACGTATATCAAAGTTCTAGGAGACTCATAAAGTTCTAGACAAATGGAAGGCATTGGTTTTCTGATATCACTTTCCAGGGGTAAATTGAAAGATAAAACAGAGGCCAGGAGATAGTAAAGTGGCTAGGACATATGCCTGGCATGCACTAGACCTGCACTTGATTCCCAGCACCATCTAGCTCTGGGTTTGATCCCCTGAACTTTGTTGGGTTCATCCCTGGAGACCCCTGAGAACTTCAAGGCATGGCCCTAGAGGCCCCCAGCAGTGCTACAGTGGCCCAAGTAATCCTCAGCACAACTGGATGCAAGCTGCACTGTATCAACATGCCTTCATATTCACCTGCCAGACTGGTTGGTTGATAAACACTGGTGGAGTCCCAAGCTTCCTGAACACCACTTGGGTGGCTTCAAAAATAATTTTTTTAAAAAACATTGAAATTATGGAACTTAATTCTCAGGTTTATTGTATCTGGTCAGTAAGAACCTTCATATAAAGACAGTAGTTCCAAAAAGCACTGAGAAGTCACCAAGAATCCTTAATTGATATCTCCCATTGTCAGGACAGGAAGGCAACTCTTCATGTAAACTCTGTAATTTTGGAATTCAATTATAATTTATTTCCTTCAAGGATATACAGCAATCACAAGAAATTCATTTTTGTGATGATGAACTGGTGACCCAGAGAAAGAAACATGTTTTATTTACAAATCTTAACTATGACACATTTTATATCAATCAGGTTCTCTCTACTGCTGTTCTTCCTGATCTTAAACCAGAATCCTGCTCCTAACTTCTCTCTTCAATTTATACCTCAATCAAGATGGATCCATACTGCTTCTATTCTTTTGTAGTAACTTCCTCATGCAATAGTGAAGAATGTGGAATAGTGGAGAGTGAGGAATGGAGAGAAAGTGTACATTCCTCACATAATACTCACTGCCAGTGACTCCTGGAAAGAACCACATTTTAAATTTCCACCATCTGATTACCGCGAGTCTTTACTTCTTCTCCTCACACCTTACCAAGCATTTTAGGGTTGGGAGAAGAGGAGAAACTTCAAACTTAAATGATGACTACATAGGAGGTAGTGTACTCAAACTGTCCTACCAGTTAATTTCATGAAAAATAAATTAGGGTTGGAGACCTAATTACAAGATTAGGTTGCTAGGTATGCCCCACCAAACATAAAGGGAAATATGTGGCTTAAAGCATAGCCAAATTTTATTCTGACTCTAGAAAAGCAGATAATTTATTTAAGGGTCAAAGTGGGCTATGAAGGAAGGAGGAATCTTGAAATCCCAGTGTTACCCCATTTGTTAGCTACTTTTTATGCCATGTGCCTTGGAATTAGAGATGGAAAGATAAATTCCATTGTTTATGACTTGTATTTATTTTTATGGTTCACTTGTGTTCCATACATGAATGGTCCCTAAATAAAATCCAGTGGTTCCTGAGAAAAGTGCAGAGCCAGGAGTTATATTTGAGCAGTTATATAAATGAGATCATTGTACAACCTGTATTGTGCTTTAGGCTGCTTAGTTCACCAGAGGTCTTGGAGGTATGATGACTATGAAAGTAAATGCATATATGTGTATTATACACATGTACGTTCTATATAAAATGAAATGTATAAACTTTGTTTTAACAGCTATATTTTAAGTCATGTAGATATAAACCTTTTAAAACTAGTCTCCCATTGTTGGATACTTTTGTTATTGCCACTTATTTTGGTGTTACAAGCTACAGTGACAGTCAAGTGTATGTAATTTTTTGAATGTATATTAGATTTTTTATGGCCTACACTCAGCAATACTGAAGTATTACTCCTGGCTCTGCACTCAGGAATTAATCCAGGTGGTGGTTGTGGGATCATATTGGATGCTGGGGATCAAGCCTGGGTCACTCACATGCAAGGCAAGTGCTCTACCCTCTATACTATCTCTCCAGTCCTCTTTCTTAAAAAATTATTAAAGAATTGTGATTGGTAGTTGAGTTATAGTTGATATTTAGACATATCATGTTATAACACCAATCCTACTACTAGTGTCAACTTTCTTCCACGAGAGTGTCCAGGTTCCATCTGGATCCCCAACCTGCCACCTTGACAAACACAAAGATTTTTGTTATTGTTGTTTGGATCGTGTTTTCAGTGCTGTTGACTCTGTGGTTTGAATATAACTATACCACTCCTCCACATTAATGATGTACCTGAAGTCCTTGACCCTACTCCCTTGTAACTATTTGTCCTCATCTTTTTACCTACCTCTAAATTTCTTTCCTTCTCTATCCTTCTGCTTACTCTGGGATCAAGGGTGAACCATGCACCCCCCTTAAATACACACTACATTCTTTATATGGGCAGGATTTCTATTTCGGTCACTTTGGCTGGGACCTTTTGGTCTTATTGAATCTGTGCATCTGTACTCCAGTTCTGGGAATTACTATAATTTCTTTGATTAATCAACATCACACCCCCCACCATCATATTCACCTTCCTCACCATCACCATCACCTTTATCTTCTTCAATTTTTTCTCACGAATTCATCCCACAGTTCTCTTGTATGCTGTTCGTTTATTTTGAGATGTTTTCCATCTTCTGTAGTTTTGGGGAGGTTTCCTCCATCTCATCTTAAAGCTCACTGATTTTATCCTCTACTGCTTTCACTTTGCTGCCCAGACCACTGTGCTTTTTCTTTCACCTACCAGGCTCTCCAGTTCTGTCACATCTGATCAAAGTTTACTCATTTCTGCTCTCATTTTTTCTCTCATAGTTTCTTGTGCTTTGTTGACTGCCTGGACCATTGTTTCTTTGAGGTCTTTAAATATCTGCAGCATGTAATTCCTGACCTCCTTCTCTGGCAGATTATACAGCAGGTTAGTGCAGGAGTTTCTGGGCTACTACTAAAATTCAATGAATTTGGTGGGGTTCGAGGCTGTTTCCCCATTGCTTCTGTTGCATTGTGAATGAGTCTTTCAGCTTTAACATGCTTGCCCTGCTGAAAATAAGCTCTCTAGAGACATGAGGAGTAACTCACCTCCTCCTTGGTTGGAGGAGTCAGAATCAATTTTATTAATACTAACATGATGTCTGGATTTATGAAGACTCCAGAGATATTTTCAATGTCCTTGGCCCTTCTCTTTTGGACATAATTTAGGACTATGATTTTATACTCCAACTACTACCTTCGTGACTTTTTCTGGATGTTATGCTAATATGAATCATTGTGTGTGTGTGTGTGTGTGTGTGTGTGTGTGTGTGTGTGTGTGGTGAAGCACTCTACAAAAATATCTGATTTGCTTCCGGTTCAAATTCGTACTTGCTGTATGTTATAGAGGAGAGGAGATATATGTGGCCACATGCTTCTTGGGGGGAAGCTTGACACAAACCTATCAATGGGTGGGAAGATAGGGGGAACTGCTTGTTCCACTGCTATGGAGCAAGTCCCATGTTGGACAAGATTCCTAGAAGTAGGATGTGGATCATGTGGTATGTGTAATTTGGAATTTATAACAACTGGCAAATTTCCCTCTAAAGAAACAAGTAAAACTTGCAGAATGAATAATGGGTATATTTTTATTTCCCATTCTAAGTTCTTGAAGCTCTCTGTTTCATAGGATCATGCAGATATCGAGTGGAAGTTTGCAAGGACGAAGCTCTGGATGAGTTACTTTGATGAAGGTGGTACCTTGCCACCTCCTTTCAACATTATCCCTAGCCCCAAGTCATTTATATACCTTGGTAACTGGTTCAACAATACATTCTGCCCCAAGAGAGACCCTGATGGTAGACGAAGACGACACAACCTGAGAAGCTTCACAGTAAGGCTTTTAAAACTTTCTTTTAAGGGGCCAGAGTGATAGTACAGCAGGTAGAGTGCTTAACTTGTACATGAATGACCCTGGTTTTGATCCCTGGAACCCCATAAAGTCCCCTGTAATTGCCAGGTCGGATCCCTGAACACAGGCAGGCAGAAGCCCTGAGCATGGCTGGGTCTGGCCCCAATCTCCTCCAAAATAAAACTTAAAAAAATAAAACCATTTCCTGGCTTCCCCCTTCTATGATACTTTCTTTCTTAAATATCATATGTTCATTCCAACATAAATATTCAAGGATGTGGGCCAGAGTGCATCAGGTAGGGCTTTTGCCTTACATGCAGCCAACTCGATTTGATCCCCAGCATCCCTTATGGTCCCTGAGCACTACCAGGAGTAACCATGAGAATTGCCAGGCGTGACCCCAAACCTGTTCCCCATGAAGTTAAAAAGAGTAGATTCATCGAGTTGGGAGGTGTCAAGCAGGAGATTTTGTGTCTTTCTCCAGTTACAATACTCATAGATAAATTCAGGCAAGGTTCTGGGTGACTACAAATGTAACTTCTCTGTTCATTTGCAATGACAGGAACGCCATGCTGACAGCTTCATACAGAATCAACATTACCAGGTAATATTTCCTCATAGAAAGTAAGCCCAATAGTTCTTGGCCAACTGTGTGATATTGGTGAGTGATTAAACCATACTGGCCTCAAAAACCTGATCTGTAAAATGTGGATAACAATTCACAGTCTTGTTGAGTTGTTGGTGTGCATGTGTACGATTTTGTGTATATATTTTGTCTCAATGCCTGAGATATGGCATTACGTTGCAGATAACATTACTAAGACAAAGCGTTCACCAAGCATGTGCTATTTCCTAGGGTCTAAGCAAGAGGAGATCAACCATTAAAGAATTGTAGATTGACTTTGAAAACATATCTTCACTATATGATTAGAGGACATTGAAATCAGCAGGCTTAGTGATACTAAAGAATGACTTAACTTTATAAAATGAGGAAAAACTCATATTATTAGGCGGGTTAAAGTTTAATATAGCCTCAACAGAAGTGACCCATACTATAACCATTCAAGGATTATTCTGCTCTCATTATATATGTGTAAGTGTGAATCCATATTTACCTTTCTTTTTTATTAGAATTTACACAATGTTCCCAGATACAAGATTAGCCTATAAAAATCAACAGCATTTCTCTAACACCATCAATAAATCAACAGGGGAAAAAAGTAACTTTAGGACATATTTTTCCCACATTTTAATGTCTCTGAAATGGCAATGCATCTTACATTCATGGTGTGTAAGTTCTGAATAAATACAGAATTGAAAGTAAGAAGCTGCTCATAATAGTTACAGATATATTAGTGCCTAAATATAAGACCCTGGTCAAGGAAAATTTCAAACTATGCCAAGCATACTCTGCTGACGAGAATAACTGAAGGACTCACTATGCTGTTTATTTTGGGGTCACACCTGGCAATTCTCAGGGTTTACTCCTGGCTCTGCACTCAGGAATTACTACTGGCGATTTACCTTATTCCTGGAAGGAAAACTTTCCTTTCAGGTAAATTTAATTTCAGCACTGCTCCCCCCCCCCCATTTTGAGTACATAAGTTTTCATTTAGCTGATGAACTTACCAGGGCTTTTGCAGAAAATAGTTGGATCTTGTGAGGACTTTCTACTGCAAACATGGTCTAAGCATGTTTTATTTCCTGTGTATATTTCTTATTTTCCTCAAAGCATAAGAAGAAAATTGAATACCTGTTCATTTTTTTTCTAATTCCAGGAGGTTATAAGGAATTTAGTCAAAAGATACGTGGCTGCTATGATAAGAAATTCCAAAACAAATGAAGGACTAACAGAAGAAAATTTTAAGGTAATTTAATCCTAATGTGGCTTCTCATTACACATTTTTAAAGAACCATTTAATTTTTAAATGCTTTAAGTTTCTGATGATGGAATTTTATGTCCATATCATCTCTATAAAAAAGCTACAATTTTATACTCTAAAAGAAATTTTAAGAAATTAGTCTTTCACACAGTAGATAGGATTTTACCAATATCAGCCACAATAATAAAGTTTAACAAAAATAAATGTAATCTGTGCATTCTTTTAATACCCTGTGCTCAGGAGTGACCCCTGGCAGTGCTATGGACACCACATGATGCATCAAGGGATTGAACTGGTATCAGCTGTATACAAAGCCTTCCCTCCTGTACTTTCTCTGGCCCCTAAAATATATTTTTAAAAGGGAAAATAAGGAATTGGAGGGATAGCTCATGGTATGAGTACATGGTCTTGCATACAGGAGAATTTGTTCAACCACCGCATCACATATGGTACTCCAAAGCACTGCAAGGAAAAACTACCAAGCATGGACATTTCACAGGGACTTCTTATTTGAACAGAGCTACCTGTTCTCGGCAGAGCAGTCCTATCACCCGACTTCTCACTTTCCTAGTTAACATCCTAAAAGAACCTTCCACTACTTCTATGTACACATACCTGTGAGCCATTAATCCAATATAATATTGTTACTTAATACTTTGTTGGCATGTTCCTGATGGAGAGGTTCTAAAATCTACTACTGCAGTTTTTCCAATGACCACCCCTGGCCACAGAATTTGTATAATTTAATAGCTTATTAGACACCGTGATTTATTTTTTTTACAATAGGTCCCACCGCCAACCCCAGTGCCTATGACCCCATATTTCCACCAATTATCCCTCCTTGCCTGCAATCTGACTTTCTGACAGGTGCGTTTTTATTTTTGTGTTTTGGAACACACCTCACAATGCTCAGGTGTTACTCCTGGCACTGCAATCAGAAATCACCTTGGTGGTGGTGTAGGGACCATATGGGATGCCAGGGATCAAACCCAGGATGGCCGTTTGCAAGGCAAGTACCTTACCTGCTGCACTATATCTCCAGTCTAACATTTAAAATGTTAAGTATTGGGGCTGGAGTGATACCACAGCGGATAGGGCATTTGCCTTGCACGCAGTTGACCCAGGTTTGATTCCCAGAATCCTATATGGTCCCCTGAGCACCGACAGGAGTAATTCCTGAGTGCAGAGCCAGGAGTAACCCCTGTGCATTGCCAGGAGTGACCCAAAAAGTAATAAATAAATAAATACGGTCACAGTCCTCCCGTTCATCGATTTGCTCGAGCGGGCCCAATAACGTCTCCATTGTGAGACTTTGTTGTTACTGTGTTTGGCATATGGAACACATCACAGGTAGCTTGCCAGGCTTTGCCGTGCAGGCGAGATAATCTTGGTAGCTTGCCGGGCTCTCTGAGAGGGGTGGAAGAATCGAACTCGGGTCGGCCATGTTGGCTGGGTGCAAGGCAAACGCCCTACTGCTGTGCTATCACTCCAGTCCAAATGTCAGATAGACTTAGAATAATAAATAGAACCTGGGCTAAATTTCTAACTCACACTGAAGACACCAAAAAATCACCAAACAAAACAACACATGGCCCTATTTCTGCAAAATAAATAAATAAAATTTTAAATATTATGTTTTGGTTCCCATGCTTTCAGTAATGTTGGGTCTAGTGTTTTTAATATATGTATATATACACATATACGTATATGCATATGACTGTCACTGTCCTCCCATTGTTCACCGATTTGCTCGAGCGGGCCCAGTAACGTCTCCATTGTGAGACTTGGTTGTTACTGTGTTTGGCACATCGAACACGCCATAGGGAGCTTGCCAGGCTTAGCCGTGCGGGCGATTTACTCTCGGTAGCTTGCCGGGCTCTCCAAGAGGGGTGGATGAATCGAACTCGGGTCGGCCATATTGGCTGCGTGCAAGGCAAACGCCCTACCCGCTGTGCTATTGCTCCAGCCCATATATGCATATACACACATATATACATATAGAGCTCACTTACTTGTACTGTGAGATTTTTCTAATTTGTGTACTTGCTTGAAACAAACCTAACACATTCTAAATGATACCTTATCTCGAATTAATAAATGTGCTACACTTAATGCCTTCTTTCATGCCCTAGGAATTAAAACAAGACATCTCCAGCTTTCGATATGAAGTACTTGACCTCCTAGGAAACAGAAAACACCCAAGGAGAAGTTTTTCCACTAGCAGCGCCGAACTCTCTCAGAGGGATGATACCAATGATGGCACTGGTGGCGCACGGGCCAAATCCAAAAGTGTCTCTTTCAATGTGGGCTGCAAGAAAAAGGCCTATCATGGACCACCTCTCATCAGAACCATGCCAAGAACCAGTGGCACGCAAGGGAAATCAAAAGCTGAATCATCAAGCAAACGCTCCTTTATGGGGCCTTCTCTCAAGAAACTAGGTTTCTTATTTAACAGGTTTAATAATGGTCATTCATCTGAACCTAGTTCAGAGCCAATGTACACAATTTCTGATGGAATCGTTCAGCAGCACTATATGTGGCAGGACATCAGATATTCTCAGATGGAGAAAGGGAAAGCAGAGGCATGTTCTCAAAGTGAAATTAACCTCAGTGCTGCAGAATTAGGTGAAGCTCGGGGTACTGCTCAGACCAGTGAATGCCCTCTAGCCTGTTCCAGCTCTCTTCAATGCATATCCAGCATTTGTTCCTCAAATTCTAAACTTTTAGACTCCTCAGAGGATGTATTTGAAACTTGGGGAGAGGCGTGTGACCTGCTCATGCACAAATGGGGTGATGGACAAGAAGAACAAGTTACAACTCGGCTTTAAGTCAAACCCCTATCACCTGTTCTGGAACTCTGCAGAATATTTGTAATTTCTTTGCTCTCAGAGGTGTCACAGAGTTATGATTGCCTCACTGCACCTGCCTATCCCTCCTGCCTCTTAGAAAGGAGAACAACAAAAACTCCTATTATTTTCACTGTCTTTTATAGCCACATTTTCCATTTTTTCCTTTTTTTATTATTGCTTTTTATTATTGTTTGCCTTTTTATACCTATAGACACTAAGTTCATTTCACAACCAATTGAAGGGGTATTTTCCCCTTATCAGGAGAGGTGCAGTCAGGTGCTTAATCCTTTGGCTTTGCTTTTCTTACCCTTGCTTCCTTGAAGCTCCAGGTGCCACTTTGCTACTGTTGCTGCCGCACAGATTCCTGACCTTCCTCAGGATCTCATACCATTTCCCCACAGGGATGAGGGACGTATTCAGCAGTCCCCACCAGCTATCAGATAAGGCAAACTAACCTGCCTATTTTTACCCTTCAGTGCTACACGCTGCCCATCTGGTTCAATGAACAGCATCAAAGACTGAATAGACTCCAAAGAATTGTCAGCTTCTGGTTTCTAGGTATAACTGGCCTTTTGTTGTTTTTAACAGTACAACTTCTCCTTATTGTGAGGGCTGTCAGGTTGTTTCTTAAAGTTGTGTTAGTTTCCTAATGTGTGACAATGAATATATACCCCATAGTATATGTCATAACTAATAAGTTAGTGGATTTCTTTCCTGTGTTTGTGTATTTAAGTTAACTTGCTAAATTTTAAACTTTGATAGTACTGAGATTAGTATTTAGGATGTGTACTGTTTTTAAAAGAACTTCTATTGCACTCTAACGAATAGTCACTACATCTCATACACTTGCAAGTAAAAGTAATTAGCTGGTATATTTACTGGGTCCTATCTACTGTTGATAGTTTTAATCATCATGGCTATCAAAGCATTTCTAAGACTAAAACCTGGATTTGAAAATATTTTTATCAAAATGATATTGAGATATCAAAATATAAAAAGAACATCTTCATTTTAAATAACTGGTTTATGATGAAAAACAACAAAAACATTAGGTCTAGATAACCTGATTCATGTTGCAGTTTTAATATTCATTGGGGGCAGTGAAGTTGCATGTGTAAATTTATTTTAGGTATATAACACTAGTGAATTTGTGTAATTATAAACATTATCCAAATTCTATTCTTTTCAAAGAGAGCTGCATTTATACATCCTAACAAATTCTTTTCCATGGCTTTGAGTAACTCATCAGAATACACAGCTGTAGGTTAAAAAAAAAGACATTTAAGTCCACAATGCATATGGTAATTATGTTAGACCAGTAACCAGTCATAACCTGCTAAATAAGGATAGTCTTGATCATCATTGATCAAAAGGTATCCCCATTTATACTCTACCATATTACCTGAAATGACCCTACGAGGTTAAATTAACAGCCTACCAAAGAAAGTTAGGTGTCCCTGGTTCTTGTAAATGTCAGCAGCAACAGAAATCATTTCAAATTCATGTGTATACCTTTTGGGGTAAAATGAGGGGCTGGAGAGATAGTGTAACACATAAAGCTCTTGCTTTGCATGTGGCCAACATGGGCTGATCCCCGGCATCCCATATGGTACCCTAAGGACCGCCAGCAGTGACTCCTGATTGCAGAGCCAGAAATAATCCCTAAGCATCATTGGGCGTGGACCCTCCAAAAAAAGTGAAATGGAAAAAGGTTCAAATGATGAAAATATGGCTCAAAAATAGCTTGTGAAGTGTAGTTTCTGTTATTTGAATCAGCTATGGGACTGGTAATGATAGTCCATATATCCTATATGAAGAGACAAATGATGAGGGTGGTAGGAACTGGAGCTATTATTGAAGAATAAATTTCAGATCCAGTGAAAAGTGATCTGGAGAACAAAGCTTCATCAAGCCCCATTTGACAAGAGACTGTCAAAAAATAATTCGTTAATTATATTTGATTACTTCAATCCAACTTCTCTAAATGGGATAGTTACTTTCCAAACGAAAAGTTTCTCATTACAGATTCAACTTTCCCAAATGTCAGATCGGTCATGGTCCTCCCGTTGTTCATCAATTTGTTCAAGTGGGCCCAGTAACGTCTCCGTTGTGAGACTTTGTTGTTACTGTGTTTGGCATATAAAACACATCACAGGTAGCTTGCCAGGCTTTGCAGTGCAGGCGAGATACTCTCGGTAGCTTGCCGGGCTCTCCGAGAGGGGCGGAGGAATCGAACTCGGGTCGGCCATGTTGGCTGGGCGCAAGGCAAACGCCCTACCGGCTGTGCTATCGCCCCAGCCCAAATGTCAGATAGACTTAGAATAATAAATAGAACCTGGGCTGAATTTCTAACTCACACTGAAGACACCAAAAAACCACCAAACAAAACAACACATGGCCCTATTTCTGCAAAAGAAAAATTACATTTTTCTCAAAAAAATGGATAAGACCAAGATATAACTATTTTTAGTTACTGTATCAATCTATTAAGAGAACAAAGGGAGAAAAACTGAGAGTAAATAGACATAGAGGTCAAACTGTTACAGAAAGAAACCATTTTTTATTTCATGGTCAGAACATTACTTTTCTGATCTTCTCAGGGTTATTTTATTGTGATTTGGGTTTAAGACTTAATTAACTATGCTGGGAATTGAAAACAGTTGTTAAAGTTAAATCTCTATAGCCTTGATTTCCATGTTGGTGACACCATTTTTACTGACTAATGAAAAGTAGGAAGAAAAAATTATATTCTCTACTACCTGATCAGCTACTATCAAGAAAGGCATTTCAAACTAATGCTTAAATATTCTGATCCTAGAGAAGGTATAAGTCATTTTAAGTTTATAAACATAAAATATTAATATAAGAGAACCTTTGAAAAGGTCTACCTTATTTCAACCTTCTATTTCACAAGCAGAGAAAGAGGTCCACAGAAAGATAATGACTCAAGATAGCAGTGAATCACTATTCCCAAACATTTTAAATCACAGCAAAAGGATAACTGGGACTGGAGCGATATCACAGCAGGTAGGGCGTTTGCCTTGCACGCAGCTGACCCAGGTTCTATTCCCAGCATCCATATGGTCCCCCGAGCACTGCCAGGAGTAATTCCTGAGTGCAGAGCCAGGATTAACCCCCTGTGCATCTCCGGATGTGACCAAAAAAAGAAAAAAAAGGACAATTATTAAGCCTCCACATATACAGGTATGAAAATGGAACAACCACTAAAGTACCTTTTCATTTCCTTATAATGGCATGAACTCTACAACTTTTGGGTTGACATACTTAAAGGCAAAGTAAAAATTGTACTCCAAAGTCAAATGTGATTTAAAATGGAATCATTAACCATGTGTCTAAGTATTTATGGCATAGATCATCTCCATAGATATTTCTTTACACTTTTAGACATCTATGTTCACTGACTTACATCATCCTCTCTTGAGCAAATTATTAAAAATAAAAGATGTGAATTATATTATTAAATAAGCATTGTTGAAGTATCTTTCATTTCAGTTTTAAGTCCGGTGAAGAGCGTAAATATTAGAAACTCATCACTTTGGAATATGTCAAATTTTATAGGGATATATATGTTCCAAGTTATATTTCACTGACATGGAAATACTGGAGCATTTCCAGTTATTTCTGCTTCCAGACATTTTTTCATTACACTATGACTAAATATAGGCTACTTCAGCCAAGTACAAAACATCAAAACATCTGCCTTCAACTTGATTAAAAACTTTGAAATAATGTCACTAGGGTCTCTACATTTAGGATGAGTTAAATAACACTTTTTCAATAGGAACTTTATACTACTTATAGCTCTGCAAATCTCCCTTGCAAATTTTATCAGGAATTGCAGTGAAAATGAGTATCTTACTGATCCAGAAAATGTAACCATTTGATATTTATATTGCCTTCTGGGTGACTCAAGTGGTGCTTTGACTAACACTTCATGTGGCCCAGATCTTGTTAAAGCATCAGGTAAAAAGTACTTGAAGTTAGGCATTCTTTCCTTTTAAAAAATACTTAAGAAAAATTGAGAATATTTTGGTATCATTTTTTAAAATGTGCTAATAAATATTGCTTATATGGACGCAGACATTATAAGTTGATGTAATGGTTCAGATTATTTTAATAACCTCTTCATACCTGTCACCTCTCTCCAACCCAAGGCCTGCAGCTTTGCCTTAAATCTATGGGTATCATACAAAGAAATTTCATGTCTACTGTATTTCCAAAATAACCTTTCCCATCATATATTCAATAGATGTAGATTTACATTTGCACTGCTTTTAGGGATGTTGGTAAAAGTGGGAAAGTTGTCGGTGTGTACACATATACACACAATGAAACTTAATAGTATTTGATAAGCTCTTGCCTCAGAGTCTTCATTCGTGTAACAGCTTTTAGTAATTATAGAATCATTTTTGAAGGAAGAGGGAGCAGGAATAATTTTTCAGTGAAAATAAGCATCTTGATATGTGGAAAAAATTGCTAAAATGAACTGCCAGGACATCTGCTCTAGCACAACCATTAGTATTAGTTTTTTCAGAATTTGGGTTTTTAGTTTGGAGATAAAGCATTTAAATTAAAAAACTTACCTTAAAGATAAAAATAAATTTTGGCAAATGAAGTATGCATATTTAAGTTTTATTACATACTTGAGACATTACTCTTTGTGTGCTGAGAGCTTAACTTTTATAAAATGTTTGTTAATGAGTTAATTATTGGACTGACACAGGCATCAGACCACAGTATGCTAGAATTTTTTTTTAATTTTTATTAGTGAAACACCATGAGGTACAGTTGTAGACTTACAAATTTTTGTGCTTGGGTTTGCTAGAATTCTCAAGCTCCGATTACTCTTACTCTTGAATGGCTTTGTAGCTTCTACTTGTAAGTTTATTGGGCTTGAGCTGTATTTTCTTTTAAAAGACACACTATTTTTGTTTCTGGTACTTGAGTCTTGTATATATTAAGGATTATGTATAAGTAGATAATTAAGTGAAAAGGTCTTATGCCAGGATTTATCTTTATCTGATGTGGAAAGTTATTTGAAGGTTCAGTAGCGTTGTTTACTACAGATACATATCAAACAATTTCTGTGTTAACCAAAGGCCCACAACTTCTGACCACTGAAATCAATCTTCCTAAATTCATACTGTAGTACAGAATTGCCCATCCACTTTCCCCACCCTGAAGTGCTTTTATAAGTCCAAATTACCTGACAGAACACACGCACACTGAATGAGTTATTTTGGCATAAGGTGGCGAACCATATTTAAATACAGATAATAAACTGTGCTTGATAACTGTAAAGCATTTGCCACAAAATGTAGTCTGTCTCCTATTCATCGTTATCAATTTATATCAAACCTAGAAATCTTGACAGTACTCCCATCAAGCTTAGTGAGATGCGTTTGAGGTAACTTAGATGTTGATAATAAAGAGATGGATGCAAAAGGTTTCAAAGTAAGGACATACATGAGCAAATGCTTCAAAACATAAGGCTAAACCACCAAATTATCAAAATTTTTAGATGACATAATCTGGAGTTTCTATGATGTAAAAAATAATTACTCGATTAAAATATCAATACCAGCATTTTCTCCCTCAACTAAATTCAAAAATTTAGTAGTACTGGGAAAGTAGCTGTGAATAGCCTGAAGTCATTTTTAAAGGTTGGGTCATTTAGAGGTTGAAATTCCTGTACCAATCACTGCATTTATAAATTTATAAGTTTATAAGTTTAACATATCAAACTCATAGTAACAATATCATTAACTTTATTAAGTAGGCAGTTAGCCAATTGTTGGAAGAACTGATTTGCCCTTATTTTTATATAAGAAATAAAATGTTGAAACTACACACAAGGTAAATTGGGAGTATGAAAAAAAGATGTATTTGGATTCATATTTTAAGTTATAAATTTTGAATAAACTTCAAGTGAGATTACAAAATGACCATGGCATTTTTTATAAACATGCCAAGAAAGTATGCACCTAAATAAACACTGCCCTTCAATGTAGTGTACTTAACAGGCATTATATACTATCATTATACAAAACACTGTGGACAACTGCTTTTCGGGAAGACTTCGAAAAATGCACAATACAATCTCTAAATCTCAGTGTCAAAGAATCATGAACTTAAAGATGAACTTTTAGAAAGTCAAATGTAAAGTTAGATCAATATTTAATTAAAAAGTTGGATGATTGGGCTCGGAACAATAGGCAGCAGATAAGGCACTTGCCTTGCATGCAGTTGACCAAGGTTCCAACCCAGACACCACATATGGTCCCTGGAGCTCTGCCAGGAATGATCCTTGAGTACCACTGGGTGTGGCCCCACATCCCCCTCAAGAGTTGTACGATCAACTTAAGTTCTACTTTACCAAGCAAAAATAACCAATTTAAATGATATTGCAAAATTTATATACTTTAA